CCTCGCGGAGTGATGCATACTGTGCTTCATCATAATATTACCGTATTGTGTGTGTATAACCTGTTTTTAAGTTTTGTGGATATTAAACATGGGTATGCTGAGGATATGTTGGCTAATTTCCACTGGAAATGCCTTTTGTCTGTCAGCGAGGAATTTGCATTTGCTCTGTTAAATTTTTATATAACTTTAATGCACATAAAAACAGTGAAAATACATTGATGTTATTTTTTTTTTTTGCACTAATAAAGTTGTGGAGTTGTAAAGTATTTTGTCTAGTGTCAATTATATCGTCAGTTATATCATTATCGCAAACTTTCAAATGTATAAAATTATAATATAATAAAGTATAAATATTTTTGGTCATATCGCCCTGCTCTAATTGAGAGGTCCTCAAAGTAGAACCGCTACTCCACACAGAAAGGGGCCAGTTGAGGTTATATCTCTCGGCTGGACTGGGGATGCCTCGGCTGAGGAGAGGGACGTCCCCTCTTCTCTGCTTAGGCTGCTGCTCCCTGCGACCCAGGCTCAGATAAACAGATAAAGAGGATGGACTGATTGGTGCGTGCATGGATGTTGTTTCTTAAAAAGACTTTGCTCATGTGAGTCACCAAAGTATATTTTCTATTTTTTAGCATTTGTTCCTACTATTGGACAGTTTTTGCCACCCCCACTGTTGCCACCCAGCTCTGGCTGTATTAGAAAAAAATAGTTGAGCTATTGCAAACATGCTAAGGTACTGCTCACAGAGATATACAATTTTTATTTTGCCAACTTCTTTTATTTATTGCTTTTTTTAGAATAATTTCCCATCCAATCCGTCTATAGTGTGTTTGTGTTGAACTTTAGACTTAAATCTTTTAACATGTGATTAGCCTCCTTTTCAAGAGGAAGTGTGTCATGCTAGTCCTGGTGGCTAAATCAGCATGTAGATCTCATGACTACAGACACAGATCCACAAGGGAAAACCCCCACAAAACAAACAAACAAAAAAAAAGCAGACTTAAGTACACTGAAAATCCAGCTAGTTAAAGAAAAAATATTTTTTCAATGCATAAATAAAATGACTGCATTGGAAAACAATCACACAAACGCATTCTCTCCCTCAGACACACACATTCAGTGTTATGAGATAAGCGCTCTTTGTCTCCCTTACAGAGAAGTGTAACAGAGCCGGGTTTTATCTCTGCAGCAAACCAAAACAAAGAGCCTCATGTGACGTGTGTGTGTCTGAATCTGTGTGTGTGTGTGCCTGAATCTCTGTGTGTTGAAAATACAGCATCTGGCACATATGAGTGATGTTTGTGTGTGTGTGACGGGGGTGGGGGGTTTCAACATAAAAAGCAAGCAGTCTGCCAATGACAGAAAGACACTGAGGGAGTGCACCACAACTTTCTCTCTTTTTCATCATCAGCATTGCAAAAAAAACACTCTCTCTCTGTCTCACACACACGCACACCTGTGATCCCCCATTCCTCTTGGATGCCTCCCAAGTGCATCCAAGGTAGTCTGGAGGAGGAACTTCAAAGGACAGGAAGGTGGGAGGGGGAACAAGGGACGAGACCTAATTACTGGGCTAATTATTATACTCGCATTCTCCTCGATTCCTCGTCTTCCTTGCCTTATTTCCCCCTCTTTCTGTCTTCCCCCACTTCCACACGAGAATGAGGTAACAAAATGGAAAATGTGGCTTTAGATTTAATTTCAGAGAGAAGTGGGTGAAAGAAAGTGTGAATTTAAAGGAGGCGGAAGAGTGGGAGGAGATGGAAGAGGACAAAATGGGCGAGAAGGAATAGGGGAGAGAAAGTGAGTTTATTTCAGTGAGCGGAGCCATAATGGAGCCTTTGTGTTTGGTTAAGAGCCATGAAATCACCCAAGTGACTGCAAGCGTGTACAGTACTGTCGAGAAAGATTCGCTGGTCGGGGTGGGCGTGTCCAGCCTGAAATTAGGTTTGGTTTCAGTAGCTACAATTTAGCATATCACCGGCTTGGGAATTGAAACTGATAGCACTCCCGGTGACCACTTAAGTGTGATTCCCAAATCCTGCTAGTCCATGTTCTCATTGTAATTACACAATATTTATTCACTAAAAACAAGTGCTCTTTAGAGCCTACCCAGTTAAGCTTACATGATGAGTGTATGTTTTTCCTTTTAACTGTGTTTTTATGGCATACTCGGGTGTCCGGCAATACTAAAGGGGGCATTTTACATAGCCTATATGTTTATTGTTAATTCTATTACAACACTGTTGCATGGTTCAAAGTATAAAACAATCCTATGAAGGGCCTTCAAGCTGTTTTAGCTCCACCTTCCTTCTGATTGACTGCCACTCGCAAATAAAAGGTTTTAACAGTCGGTGGGTACAACCTGCAATGACCATATTAGGAATATCCACTCTGTCTGACATCACAGTAAGAGTAGAAAATACTTTCTGAAACTGAGCCTTCAGTTTTTGCTGCACAGGGATTTCCTTCTAC